GTATTGTTGTTGCAGTTAGCAATTAGCCTATAGCCTATCGTTCACTCAAAAGGCGCGATGGGTGCTTCGACATACGAAGATTTTTGATTTACGAAAGACCCTCGGGAACGAATTAATTTTGTTCCACTGTATGTAGTTTTTAAGGCTGCAACCAATTCTGACTCGAGCCTTTTTGGTGCCCTAATTGAACTGGCCCTTTAAATAGCCAGTCCCTGCATACAATGATACCTCAAACTGAGCCATGCTTAGTGTGCTTTTTCTTAATTACTATTAATAATTTGTGATTCTTAAAACACACCAGTGTAATGGTAGTTTAACTACAGCAGCTTATAATATATCAAATATATGTATATGTAACAATATGTTGTTAAGTAAACAAAATCTAATTGTTGTCAGGTTTTGTTTACTTTAATTATTACAGAATTTGAAATCTTTGGGAGACCATAAATAAATTAACTACACAGAAATTTTGACTTAAACTAATGAGATTGTTTACTAAAAACAAAGGTAATATTTCATTTGTATGAAATATTACTGAAGTTTGCACTGTTCCAAAAAGAAAGAAATTGTCACTATGATAGAAGTTGAAGAAACTCATATATATAGAGAGTGTCCCTATTAAGCCGAACCTATTTAATAAACTCAAAGAAAAGCCTCCCTCAAACAGCTGGAAGCAACAAAACCATTGACCAAACATAAGTAACTTAAGTAAGCAAAATAATTTCATGTCTTATCTAACAATCACTCAGCATCTCACAATTCCTCTCTTTGGATTTTTTAAAGATCCCTTCAAATCAAGGAATACCTCATTTTCTTTTGCAGGCGTAGTTGTGGCTTAAGGCGTGTAAAATACGCTGGGAAACATGGCCACAATATAAAACATAGTCATGGACTTTTAAATGATGTATTTAGAGTTTACCTTGGCGTAAGTCAGTACAGTCACTACTTTATTAAGGCAGAAAGAAGTGAAGGGGGCTGAACAGGGTGAGTGGGAAAATAACTGACAGGGAAATTGCAGGGGGAAATTATTGTTATTCCACAATTAAATTATATATACTGGGTGGAATCACTCCTGACAGGGCTGACCATAGCAGTGCTCCCGATGTGTGTGTGTGTGTGTGTGTGTGTGTGTGTGTGTGTGTGTTTGAGAGTGAGTGTGAAACTTTATCCGTCTACCAAGGCCACTGAGGCTATACTGGCAGGGAGGAGAATGTGGAAAGAGAATCGGAAGGAGAAAGAATTAACGAGAAAGAAAAGTAGTAACATCAACAGAGTGAAGCAAAAACAGTCTATTTTAAGGCTGAGTGGGTGTTAGTAAAAACACAGCAAACCCCCTGTAATGAACCTATTTGGACCAGTGACGACAGTACAGTATGTAAAATAAACCATCCTTGATTTTTGTGGTTGAAATCAAACCTGGGTGACACTGTATGTTTAAGCATAAACATAATGCAGATGCTGTGAAAAATCCTTTCATCTTGAAATTCGTCCATTTCTCAGAGAAATTTGACCTCGTCCTTGTCTTAAAGCATTAAAAACACACTGTCAAACATGAAAAATGAACGGGTTTCAGATATAAAAAAGTGACCACTCGGTCTTCATTCTTCTCGAAACAATGACTCTTTGAATACACAAGGTTTCGGGTGATATGTAAAGTAAACTAGGCCCATTTTCTATCCAGTAAAATTAATGATCCATGAAACTTGGGGGGAAAAAAAACAAAGAAAATGGTTACACTGGCTTGTGTGGATGTTGGCTTCAACAAGCCTCCAGAAAAATTATAATGTAATATAAATTTTGGAAATCCCGGGTTATTCTATTGTAACAAGGATCACTCATTAACTCATGACTTCACTGTGTACTTTGTCCCGTGAAAAATTGACTTCAGGCCATTTGAACGGTCCTGCATGTTCTCATAATTTTTTTTTTAATGTTCTCCCCACATCGATTTGGAAGTTTCTGTCTATTTTGATTATATAGAATCAGTGGTGCAAAATCAGTTTTTAATTCAATGTAAAAAGAGTATTTTTATTAATAAAAAACACATAAAAGTAAAATCTTCTACTTTTAATGTATTTTAATTTGGATGAACTTGTGGATGCTTATTTACAGCTTAATTATGCGCTCTTGCTCTTGAGTAGTCAAGTCCACTTGAAGTCGCCATCTGGGAAGTGAAATTGGTATATTGTGATGTAAATTCTTAGTGGATAAATTAGTTGGGTCATGGAAAACAAGCAGATATCTGAACATCCCTTGTGCTCTCCATCTAGTGACGGAATTTGACTTGGACCCAAGTCGACCCTTGAAGACTCATGGACACAGAAAGTATAATTCGGGCTTTAGTTGTTTTAGAAAGGTGACATATAAAAGGGAAAAACTGAACCCTTAAAACCTCATTAAAGACATTCATCACTTTGTTATGCTAAGAGGGCGTTTTGCTGGCATATTTGGCTTCACTCGTCCCCTTTAGAAGGAGAAATCACTGCAAATCAGTACAAAATTGTTCTGAGTGATCACCGGCTGCTAGTAGAGTTTCAGAGTCTTATAAAGTCATTAGAAGGACACTCCAGTGTTAATCTGGTGGCACAATATCAACAACAGTAGTTTTCTTTTTTTTTTTTAACCCTTTAAAGCCGGTCGGAGTGGGCACGCTCTGTTTTGTGCAACTATTTTTAAATCCTGGTAGCTCTGCAACCACGTAAGCTATAATTTTTTTTGCATATGAAACCGGAGGAGTTGTACTTACATCTTATGCCATCAGCTTGTCCTCGGTCACAGTTTCCTTCCACATATAGCTTTGCAAAA